TGACAATAAATATTGATGCTTGAAATCATCAGGTCATTCGGCCTCTTTTTTTAAAGCTGTATTAGCTAAAGACTTGCAATCAAAGAAATCAAAAGACAATTTCATTCTTTGAAGTCCACATAATGTCCATTTTAAAGAATTAAAGTTAAGAATGAGGATTATACCATTTTGTTTAGAATTGAACATAGTTTATCTAGAAATGTAAAACAAAACAAAATGCAAAAACAAAACGATGCGTAAATAGATGCAGTCATTAGTATTTTTACCAACAAATTTAATCATGCTTATAAAACGTTTTATGAAATATCTCAAAGGCATACAATGTATATGGGTTGCCAAAAGAAAGAAAGAAAAAAAAGAATAACATAATATGATTATTAATAAAATTGATCAAAATTAAACTGCTATCAATAGCAATATTTTGGCAATACAATACAGTTCAGTTTGTTAACATTAATTAATAACAGATATCATAGACTAACAATAAGATATCATAGACTAACAATAAACTATACTTTCACAGCATTTATTAATAGGTTATTGTTCATTTCTACACATACAGATATATTTTTTACCTTTCAAAGTAAATTAAAGTATGAACATACATAAACGTATAAACCAATTACTATAATGTGAGCGGACACTGTTAATTTATCAGTTAACATTAATCTACATGGGGTCAGTAAGATTTTTGTTGTTGTTGTTGCTGATTTGTTTGAAATTAATACTTTTATTTAGTACGGATGCATTAAATTGATCAAATGTGATAGTAAAAGACATTTACAATACAACAAAACATTCTATATTTCCAATAAAATAGTTTTAAATAGTAATTAGTTCTCTAAATACATAAACTATATTAAAACAGAAAACAGTTATTTTAAATTGTAATAATTGCTCTGTTGCTTAAATAAATACATCTTTGGTGAGCATGAGAGAATTCTTTCAATTATAAAAAATATATATATATATATCTCACGGACTCCAAACTTTGAATGGTAGAGTGGATTATTAAATGCTGTAAAAATTGTTGTTCAGTGTTATGATACCTAATGGATTAATTAATAGTAAAAACTTAATGCTAAATATTTTTTTAAATATTTGAATGTTTTTATATTATTTTCTGATAATAAAAAGGCATTAAATTGCCATTACAAAAAGTATCACAAGTCAATTTATTGTTTTTGAATGTAAGAACATTGTTTTGTCTGTTCTTGGAAAGCTTAGTGAGGAAGGTTCTTGTATGTTCCACACAAACACAAAAAAGTCATTAGGGAAAGTAAATGACAAGATTTAAATTTTTTGGGTGAACTATCCCTTTAACATGAACAGCCTTACTAATAACCAAAGCTTCAGACCAGGTAACATCTATGTATGCGTATAAGATGGTTGATACATCCCAGGAGGGGACGGGTAAGAATAAAACAGATTTCTCAGTATCAGTTCTAGCATGTATTGATATTGAACACACATGTGTGAACAGGGTGGACAGAGTAGCGTGACAGCTGCATGTGAACTTCTGTCGTTGTATTGTGAAAACATGCCCGGGCAGTCAACAGAGATGTCCTCGGCTGATTTAGTTGGGGTGTAAATATTATCGTTTCTGCGAACAGATATGAGGCGATTAGCGAGCGAATTTGCCCACGCCGTGACCGCCACTCCAAAACCTCTGACCCATGGCTAATTACTACCACACATCTCATCGGATGACAAACAATCTCGATTTCACCAGCATCACGATGTGTCAGATTGTCACAAGCCTCACTTGTCAGGTGAAACGGCAACAGAGAGGCATTGTGTCAAACGAAAGTGTCTGGCAGAGTGGGACCGACATGCAGGGCTTTTGTCTGGCAAAACGGAAGCCCCCCTCCCGATGCCCCCCTTGTGGTGCATGCAAACGCCAGCCGCGTGTTTCCCGGGTGTGGTCAGTCTAAGAAACATCAGGTGGTGAGATAAAGCTCCAATTTGTTACACACGCACTTAGGTCCCCATTTGACTACGCCTGGTTTGACTATGCCTGAATGCCAATTTGACTCTAAATGTAAGCACGCAGTTGGCCCTCATAAGCAAATGCTCACACATTTAGGTACGTGTGGGTCCAGCTGCTGGAGTTTGTATAGGTGTGATTTGTCTTTGATTTGCATCAAACCCCATTTCTCCCATTCAACTCATAGCCACATCCTTCAACATAACAAAAGCAGAGGAAGGAAATTATATATTAACCAAATTGGATAATGAGGCAAAATTTTTGATCCCTGTTATGGGGCCGAGCGTCAATGAATCACTGGGCTGACGGGGAAACGTATATGGAATATTTACATTTCGGTCTTTGTCTGCTGTAAGTAAGCGTACAGTTGTGATCTTACTTGGTGGACCGGGTGACTTTGAGCTCTTCCTGTCCTATCCCTTGTCAACAACCTGAATGCTTGTTCTGCAAATATTTTCATTTGCCTCTCGAGCCTTTAACCTTGACATTGGTTCAGGGTGGCACAACGGCTCCAGGCTCATAAATCAAGGAGTGGCGAGATGAGAGGCAGGGACGTTTCTTGAGATTTGGCTTGAAATCAAACATGACAGGCAGAGTAAAACAACACCAATTCATCAGCTAATTGCCTAAATGCTTATTAGCATGCCTATTAGCTGTTTATTAGCACTTATAAAGCACATATTAATGAGTTATTCTGCATGATCATATTTTAGATCCCTTAATTCTACCCCATACCTAAACTTAACAACTACCTTACTAACTACCTTACCTTACCAACTCATTTCAGGGTATGCAACTTAAAAACGTAAAAGATAAATATGGTATTAATTACATATACATATATATTTACAATAAGGAAAAATTTATAACGTAAAGCAACATAAGCCTTCCTTTTATGCGTTTACAGGAAACATACATTCATACAACATTCCTGTCGTCTAAACACAGTAAGAAACTTATATATTCAAAAAATTCACTATAAAATTATTTAACCAATATATGTTCTCATGCATTTCATGAACAACATAAGTTTTATTACTTCATAGAAATCCAGAATTTAAAATGATGATGATTTTTTAAATCACCAATAAATTAATGCATGCAAAAAAATAAACAAACAACAAAAAAAGATAATGTCCATGACTCATATATTGTCTATTCATCAAAGAATCCTGATAAAATGTGGCTCAGTTTTCAATAGCAGTTTTCAATAAAAACTAAATGTTTATTTACCTCCAAATCAGCATGTTAGAATAATTTCTGAAGGATCATGTGACACTGAAGACTGGACTAATGGTTGCTGAAAATTCAGCTTTGCCATCACAGGAATATTTTTTTTTGATAGATAGATAGATAGATAGATAGATAGATAGATAGATAGATAGATAGATAGATAGATAGATAAAAAATACATGTAAAAAAATGCAACTTGGTGCGAATAATCCATTTCAAAATTTTGGAGTCTTAGCAACTTACCTGCTGCTTAAAGTACCAACAAAATGTTCTATAAATCACCCGCTAAGACACATACTGTTAAATAATTATGCACAATCAAGCTATTTATATGTGATCTAAAACTATTAGTGCTTTCTTTCTATGATGATTCACACATGCTACATCATGACGCAAGTGAATGTTCATAACATTTCAAACAGACTTGGAGCCAATTCACAGATGGATCTCCAGCTCTGAACTAATTGGTCAGTGGAAGCCGAAGGGCTCAGGTTTCTACCGCACAGAGGGGAGGACAGAACAAAATATGGACCGAGAGCAAGTGCAATGCTAGCCCATACAGCAAGAGCATGTTTATTTTCAATAATAATTTCACAACAGTAACTCCCACCACCATTTGTGTAAATTAAAACTAAGTGGTTCAGCCTGGGGCTGATCATGCTACTGGCTACTGTGTGGTGATTCCAGCCACAGCACAAACAGTCGGAGGGTGATAATTGGCTTAGAAGAAGAGGCGTAATCTGCAGGGGAGGCCTGCGGGATGCAGCCGATGACAGCTCCGTGGAGAGGAAAAGTACGATGGATCTCATAACGGCCAGCCAGAGCCGCTGCGTCAGTGTCACCTGGGGCCACACGCGCACATATATTCTCACACCTTGCTGCGGATCAGCTTTAGATCCACTGTAAAGCTGTCATCTTGCCATAAACAGAGCTTTCTTTCAAGTCTGCACACTCTCTGGGATCTGACACGTGCCTCATGTTATGTGGCGGAGGGAGGGGAGAAAAAACTGAAAGGAGAGCAAATCATTTGGGGAGGGAAAATAAAAAAGGAGGAGGGAGACAGAAACAGATAAATCTCTGCCCTAAGCACACTACGTCATATGTGTGATTTCCTATGAGCAGAGGCAGTTAACATGACACATGTTGAGCATGCCACTGCCAGTGCTTAATATAAACCTATGACTTCACTTGCTTGTCTGAGATTGACACACTGCATATTCCAGAAGAGGTGGGCTTAAAGTTTGTGATTTTTGTTCAGCAGGTTTATTACTTTTCCAAAGCTCAAAACATTCCCTGTCACCAGGTGTATGTTGTTACCATGCATACAGCAGACATGTGTGCCTAGTTTACACTGAATACATGAAAACAGCAGATGAGAAGAACTGAAAGAAAACATTACAAACCAGAAGTGTCATTCACACTTCCAACGAAAAAAGTAATAATAACTGAAAAATTTTAAATGAAGTAACAAATTAAAGTAAAGATGTATTTCCAAACAAAAATGAATGGTGATGAAGGCCAGGGTCAAGATTGGAAACCTAAACAAAAACTGTACCACCAGACAATTCCATATTATATTATATAAACTACAAATATCCTAAAAGTGTTTATTTTTTATGTTTTATTTTGGTGTCTGATACATCTTGGTAGATATATTAAATTATAAATGAAATTATTGAGAAATTCTGATGGCATGGCAATACAATACAGTATGATGGATGGATGGATGGACAAATGGATAAACGAATGGACAACGGACAGACAGACATTTATAACTTACCCCTCAGCACGAAATATAGTTCTGAAACAGTCTCCAAGGCCTTTATAGTTATTTGGGTCAGCCTTCCCTCTCTGGATTTGAAACCTGAAAAAGGAAATGATGCCAACTGGTCACCACAAGACTTGATTTACACAAAATATGAATTTACAAACCTTGATTCAGAAATATTAAACTAAGTTTTCCAACCAGTGAGCTCTATTCCATGGATTATAATCACAAACAAAAAATGTACCATGCTAACATACCAATCAAAATACTGCTGCAATATAATAATAAATTAATGAAATAAATCTTATTTTTGTATTTACCACATTAATGGAGCCTAATACCAAGTTACAAAATTTTTAAAATATTATATATATATATATATATATATATACATACATACATACATATACAATGAAAACAGCATTTAAAAAAATTTGAACAACAAATAAAGACATGATCTTACAGACCTTTTAACTCATAATTTTTTTAATAATATTCTCCCTTTAAACAAATGTATTTCATGCATGCATTGGCTACATTTCACACTTGGGAAAAAAAAGCCAAATAACAAGAAAAACAACGATTGAGAATTCATAAATTCTGGAAAACATCACTGCTGTACATACATTACGTTCAACATTCTTTCGCTTAGATGAGTGAGCGATCATAGAGCATGACCACCATATGCTATCTGTGTGCAAGAAATGTGGGACACTGGCTAATCTGTGCAAAGTGTCGACACAAGTTTTAGACGTCTGTCAAAACCCAAACCGCTCTTCTCTCCCGCCTTCTGATCATTCCGAGGCGGTGCTGACTTTCTCGGTCCCTTTAGCACAGCAGAGAAGTCAAACATTTACTTAACCCATCCTTACCAATTAGCTTCGCTTCTCTTATAGCCACAGACCTTGTAGCTGCTAACTTTGTCGCTAACATGCTAGTATCCTGCAGGTAACAGTTCTGCAGTTCCATGTAAATTTTTAATATGATACAAATGGTCAAGAGATGTTTTTGTAGCAACAAGCATGCTAGTAACTCCCTAATAAAGCGCAAACTGAACCGTGTAAATGTTTAACGTGGTACCAGCGCAGAGTGCGAGTTTGGGGAAAAGGATTTACTGCTTCAAACCCCCCCCCCCCCCCCCACGGGGCCTCGTTTTTTACCTCTTTTTTTGGG